AATGCCAATCTTCCTCTTTTTGTTGAGGAAGATTGGCCCTGGGCTAACATCCGTGCCCATCTTCCTCTACTTTATGTGGGACACGGCCACAGCATCGCTTGACAAGCAGTGCGTCGGTGCGTGCCTGGGATCCGAACCTGCGAACCCTTGGGCCGCCGAAGTGGAGTGCATGCACTTAACCACTGTGCCACTGGGCTGGCCCCTTTTTCCTGTTTTTTAAACTGAAAACTGTATGTTTAAGTCTTTGGGTCTAGTTGTGAGCAAGCTCATAGCATTCATTTTAGCTACCACATAAGGTATGTGAAATATCTGTCATTGTTCTCAGTTTTATTTTTTCATGTGGTTCCCATGGATATAGATTGAAAAGAGAATTGGGAGATGTACATTAATCAGGTTCGTGGAAAAGAACCAATCCATCCAAGTTAGAACATATTTAGGGTTTAATGGAAATAGAATGGGGAGAGAACGTGGGCTTTGCTATTTCAGATTCCCAATGGTTGGGCCAGAACCTCCTTTCTTTTATAATCTAAGGACTGATGGATGTTCTAGGTTTAAAGACAAAGTGCTAATATGATGGCCCAGGGTGGGTTATTTTCGTATGTCTGGGAGTAAATTGAGGTAAAATTTTCCCCATGTACCACATGAGAATTACTTTCAAAACTGGCCTCTGAATACCATCACCCCATTTATATTTGAGATTAGGGTTCTGACTATACTACCATGAATTAATTGCTAAAAATGTAACCAGAGATGGAAGGAGGCCAAGAGAAATCAAATTTTCAACTCCAGAGATTGGTGAAATTAGCGTTTTGTTATAGCAATCACATTGGTCTTGTAGCTAATCACCTTCATAGCACAATGTTCCTACCTAGAATTGCAACTGTAGTTAGATCTACATGTATTCAGAACAGTTTCTGGATTCAGTACAAGACTGAAAATACTCTGGGAGAAGGAACTGCTGTCAATATTCAGATTGCTCCCTTCTGACCAGTTCTGTTTTCTTCCTCACTGCTCTCCCTAAATCCTATGGATTTAGGTATTTTAATAGGATTGTTGCAGACCTGGTCAGCAAGTTAGGGGAGTATGAGTTAAAAGCAGAGGCAGCTCACCTCATTATTAACTAATGTTTTCATGGCAGTGTTTTAGCATATTGACTCAGCCCTGCCCCCAAAACAGAGTGCACCCTTCCCAATGACAAGGTAGAGCTGGGGGTGTTGGGGCTTTATGGTCACCAGCATCACCTGGGCACCACCCACCGATACTGCATGAGAATCTGCACATTAACAAGATCTCCCAGGTGACTCAAACATAATTTTGAGAAGCCCCAGTCTAAGAAACTTCTTGCCCATCACCTGTGAACAAACATATGCATCCATCTAGCCACCTTTGCAATTTGGCAGTTTATTTGTTTAGTAAATGTTTTGTTGTATCCTTCCATATTCTGGGTGATGTCAGACACAGAGCAGGTGGAGGAGCTGTATTGTTCCCAGAATAAGAAATAAGATGATACAGTGTTTAACCCATGGGATGAAACTGCTTACAAGCCCAGCGATGCTGGCTAATTGACAGAAGTGTTGAGGAATTAATTAATTCTTTGAGCCTTTAACATGAAAGGTGTCCTATAGAATTAGAAGTTAATGTTGACTGGTCTAATTGCCTGTTTTGTTGTGATCTGTTCTCTTGTTTTGTTTCAAAAAACATCTATTTATTTGGCTATTAATCTTTCTAGTGTCTTAATACTAACCTGCAACTGAACATGTCTGATACTGCCTTAATTGCCTTAGAGTTATCTTTCAAGCAGTGACACTTTACCAAAAAAAGTGATACTTTATCCAAAGCTAGAATATTTGATCAAATATCTCAGCAGAAAAGTGTACTACCTTATTTTTCCTTCACTCTATGCCTCATGGCATATCTTCGTATTATTGGTTACTGTGTGATTTCTAGGTATTTGTGACTATGCCAATCACAAGAGATAGGCAATACTTTTCTGTTTTAGGAATACAAAAAAATGTTGACATCTTTTGGTCCTTAAATACCAAATATAGAATAAAGATAGCCATTTACATGATATATCTTTTTTTTAATAAAGCATTTTGGTGACATTTTCTCATAAGGGAGAGTGGGATTCAATGAAATTTCTGCAAATGAAAAAACATATTTCAGAGTGTTCTTCTTTTGGTTTTTCATCTGAGGCTGATAAAGATGGAAAAGTAGGCATGAAGAATCTGCTTGTAATGCCCAGATTGGGGTATTCTTCAAATATAGTTGTATATTTTAAGACAATTACGGAGAATATTTTTGTGTGTTCGGTTAGCGGAATCCATCACACACATCTGGGTTTATGAGTTTATGATCTAGGCTGCTTACCTAGATTGCTTAGATTATATTAAAAAGATTAACAGTCAGATTTATTCTTTGAGACAAATTTTAGGGTTTAATCTCTGTTTGAAGGGTAGCAAACCAAACTCGATACCACTCACTGTGGTCCCAACTTTGGCCTTCTTGAAATTATTTTTATAGATAAAAATCCATGAATGGTTGAACCAAAGTTTATCATCACCAACTTGAGGTACTTATCTTACCAAGGCAAGATATAAAGCATTATCTTTATATAAAGGATTGCTAAATTTATTCCTTCATTTATTCAAATACATATATTTTGAGAACTTGCTGTGTATCTGGACTGTTCTAATTGTTGGGGTTTAATAGGGAGTTATACATAGTCCCTGTTCTTGTGAAAATTATTCTTAGGTGAGGAAAGCAGATATTATTCATTTGGAAAGACGTACAATTACTAAATGTTAGGTGATTTGAAGAAAAATTGTAAGAGGATATGATTCTAAGTTTCTCTAAGGAAGTGATATTTGAGCAGAAATCTGAAAGATGAATGAAGTACATGTCATTTATTCTTGAGTTGCTTGTTTAAGAAAGCAAACACATGAAAGGGATGGTATTAAATATCAATTTTTTGGCAGATGAGTGGCAACAATGTCTTTGTTTGTGAATGGCTTTGTTTTTGTCCAGGAGAAGCTGCGTTGGGTCAGAACTGGTAGACTGGCTTCTAGAACACTGTCCTTTTGTCCAATGCAGATCCATGGCCATAGGGGTCTGGCAGCTCCTACTGGATATGGGAATTATGTCATCAGGTTAGTATTACATGTTTGAAAGGCACAAAATCATTATTTTATTAAGCCAGGCCAAAATGTACTTGATTTTCTAGAGGATGTTACAATCTAGATAGAAATTGTTTTTGCAGGTAAATATTTGCATTCTCTCTTATTATATAAATAAAAGTGACAAGTCATCTTATTTTTTTCTGTTTGACAGGTCATCTTTTGATATTTCTCACACCTTTTGTAAAAATAATAGGTTCTTGCTGATTCGTAGACTACTACTTATAAGAGTCTTTCCCTTATCCTCTCCCTTCTCTACTCAAAATGCTGCTCACAATTTTTTTTTAATCATTGACATCTTTAGTTGCTCTAAATGTGTCATTTATCTTGCTGTACTTAGAATAATCATCAGAAACTGGTTTTATGAGTGGAATGTGTATGCCATTTTAATTGACAAAGTAATCATGAGCAGTTAGAGATATGACCTATGAAAATTAGCTGTTTAAACAAAATAGAAAATTGATGTTAACTAGAAACTAAAATAGATGGTGGATATTTCTTTTCTTAGTTGAGCCCAGGGAATTGAAGAATTAGAAGGCAAGCAATCTAGGTTCTGTAGTTAGCTCCATCATGCAGGTGCTGGTTGGTCACTGGGAAGCCCTTTTTTCTACGGGTAATAAATATTGAGGATCAGAGAACATAGCAAGGTTCAGAAAGGCATACCCCAAGTCCCATTGTGAAAGAGTGTTACAGATGGGGACGTGGGTGTAATCTTAGTGAGTTAATAATACCTAGTACCTGATAATCTTATTTAGAAAATCAGTTAACTACCTTTGATGAATGTTATTATCAGCTTGCTTGTGGGGTTCAGGTTTCTGGTTAGCAAAACATTTTGTATAAATGTTTTTTGGAAAAGTCTCCAGTTCTTGATTCCTTTTAAAACAGGGTCTCCCAACCTTGGTAGTGTTGGCATTTTGTTCCAGATATTCTTAGTTGTGTGGGGCTGTCTTGTACATTGTAGGATGTTTAGCAACATCCCTTTCTTCTGGTGTATCCCCTAGTTATGACAACCAAAAATGTCTCCACACATTACCAGTGTTACCTGGGGGGCACGGTTACCCCCAGTTGAGAACCACTGATCTAAACTTGCCTCGGTGTTGTATTTGTGTACCATTGAAGTACTTAAATGTCTTAGTTTGCTTTGAGATGCTAAAAAAAGTTGCTCCCAACTCGTTTTGAATTGCTATAGATTTCACCTGTCTCTGAAGTAGAAAAGTTATAAAATGTGAATATGCTGGCAAAAGCTTCAAGTAATAAAAATATGTTGGTCAGTAAGTCCTTTTTAACGGGATTGTGAACATGAATGGACTTAAAATATATAATTATAGTCCTATCCCTGGCTTCTCCCCAATAATTAGTAGGGCTTTCAATTTATTCTTTGGTTTACGGCTCTCTAAATAATATACTTAAAAAAAAAAAACTGATCCACACCTTTTTCATTTCTAACAGTGGACCAGCATTTATACTTTCAAGATACCTATGTTTTCTACCAGTTTTCATCTGATGAATGTAGCTACTTGTACTGTGAATTTGAAAGAGAAGAAGAATGGCAAAATGGTGTCAAACTCTTACTGCAACTTGTGCCTCTCATTCCTGCTAGAGCTGGCATCTGTGAACTGTAAGTAGATGCTATTTTGTTTCATTGTAAAATTATTCTCCCTTAGAGAACATCTACTGTGTCTAAGGACTATGCTCTGCTCTTTAAGATCACCATCTCCTCTAAGAGGTAGTTGTTCTGTTCCCGTTTCTCAGATACCGGTTCAGGAAGGTAAAATAAATTGCTGAAAATTAAAAAACCAGCTAGTAAATGACTGAGCTGGTATTCAAATCCCGGAAGTCCGTGCCTCGCCAGCTGCACCATGCTGCTTCTAATTTAATCATTGCTATGAGTAGATGATCTAAATTAGGAATAAACATGATTTAGCTTAAGTTGGAATAAAATAATAACACATCTTATCCACTATCCAAGTTGTGACTTTCCTAAGAAAGAGCTCAACAGACATTTCTGAAAATAATCTAGAAGCAACATTTGGCAAATTAAAACACGTGAATCATTGTCACATGAAGATACTGAATCACTGTATGATTAAAACAAATTAAAATAATTTGTTAGAGAAGATTTTGGAACAGGACTTGAGTCATGACGTGGTGATTCTGACATGCCTTTGTTTATCCACAGCATTAATGACATGCTTATTTCAGTATGATGAATTGCAGATTAAAAATTTTAGGTATTAATTTTTACATATTCAGTTTTCAGAATATGTTCCCATGCTGTTGACTCTTTCAGTTCTGTGAAATTAGCAGGGCAAGTGGTATTATCCTCATTTCATGGGTAAGAAAGTAGATTAAGGGAGAAACACCTACAATCGTAAGAAAGAAAGTTGCTCTTGTTAAAAAAATGACAGTTAATACTGAACAGTTAATACAGGCTTTTAGAGAAGAAGTGTGTCAGAATATTAATGAGACACTGTGGTAATAGAAAGGTTGATTGTAGAGAACACATTTTATGTCAGAAACTATGCTAAATGCTTTATATTCATTATTTCATCTTCAGAATGTTCCAACTATTATCTCTATCTTATAAGTGAGGAAACTGAGGCACAGATGTCAGGTAACCTGTCCAAGGTCACAGAAGTGGTGAGTGGAGTGTTAGAGTTTGAATGCATGTCTGTATGGTTCTAATGCACATGGTTTTAACACCTGCTAGAGTGTGTTCCCAGGAGTTATGGGGGTCATTCCAGCTTCCCCTTCTGAGAAGTTATAAACAGAAGCTATAAAAATGTTAGACTGACTCTGAAATGGTTGTGAATTTACACCTCTCATTATAGAGGCTCTTGCAGTGGTAAAGCAAAATTCAAATATAATTCATCACTCAATTAGTCTAAGTATGGAAAAGGTTCTTTAGTGTAATATGCTTTTAATATAGGTCAGAAGTTTCCTGAGAAAAGTCAAGGAGCATTTCAATAAACTTGAACAAGCTTTCTAAGAAGGAGTGGTTTGCTTTTTAAGCTGGAGGCGGCTGTGACTTGCTTTGACTCTGTGGGACTGGCATTCTCCAGCAGCCCTTAACCGTTTCCTGTCCTGAATGCAAGATGGAAGCGTGTGCAATCCCATGGGCATCCCCAGATTAATGTGGGCATAAGGGCAACTAAAATAAACTTGCAAGCAGTCTTCATGATTTAGTTCCAGTTCTTTCTCCCTCACTTAGAAAGCGGATTGGAATGCCAGTGAGTGAGATGACCTTGTTATAGGGAAGCCCTGTGTCTACTCTAAGTTCTAAAAATGAAATTGAAAACTTTGAGTCTTAATATTCATTCTAGATTACTTGTCGTCTTTTGTCACACTGATCAGTGAACACAAATGTCATGCCCCTGGAGTTGAGAATCACTGTAGCATGCCTTGTTTATCAGCAAATTTTTTTCTGTCAGTATGAACATGTGCATTTGGGCTTGGTAACTCCTCTGGGAAAATTGTCATTGGGGAGCTTTGGATCTGTCTGTCCCATACTATAAGCGCAAAATATAAAAAGATAAAATTACTGAACCACTGCAAGTTTTTTCTAGAGAGAGAAATATATATTTTTTTCTCCACTAGAGTTAAAAACAAACTTCTAAGCTATGGTAGAATGTTTTTTGTTTTGTTTTTTTTTGTGAGGAAGATCAGCCCTGAGCTAACATCCATGCCAATCCTCCTCTTTTTGCTGAGGAAGACTGGCCCTGAGCTAATATCTATTGCCAATCCTCCTCCTTTTTTTCCCTTTTTCTCCCCAAAGCCCCAGTAGATAGCTGTATGTCATAGTTGCACATCCTTCTAGTTGCTGTATGTGGGACACGACCTCAACATGGCCGGACAAGTGGTGCGTTGGTGCGCCCCTGGGATCCGAAACCTGGGCCACCAGTAGCGGAGCACACGCACTTAACTGCTAAGCCACGGGGCCAACCTCTGGTAGAATGTTTTTGGCGAAATTTTGGAAAGCCAAGGTTTAGGTTATCCAGCCTTGGAATAAACTATGGTTAGAGAAAAGATGCCTAGGGACATTGTCTTCTTTCCACCGTTGTCACGGCCCTTCTTGTGGTTGATGTGGATAATCCCATCATAACTTCTGCTCTACCTGGTGCTCACCGTTCATTCTAGCCCCATCCCACACCCGTTTATTTCCTCATGCCCGTGTGATGCTCTGCTCTTTCCTCTGTCTCTTTCCTGTTCTAGTCAAATTCTACCCACCCCTCAAGGGGGAGCCCAAGCCCTATGTTGACCACAAAACTTCCATGATGTCTCCAGTCCACGTCATTCTTACTTTTAGTAACTTACTGCTCTTGCTGTTGGCCTCAAAATTTTTTTCCATTCTTCTGTCATTCTTAGTCCTATGTTATCCTTTATATTATGTTGTTCATTCATTTTTATCCCTTTTACTGAAATGCCCTCTAAAGTGCTCTTGATTCGTTAACTTAGGTTGTCCTCTCATGAGCTGAAAACCCAGTCCTGTGGTCCTCTTAATAATCTTTTTGATGTTTGAAGGCTATTAAGCTCTGCCTATGAGGTTCTCCATTAGGCACCTCTAATTTGCTGTCTTCTCTCTAAATCTCTTTAAACTTATGAGGAAACCACTTAGTGTCTCTATATAAATGCAATTCTGTACAAATGCATTTTTAAAAAGAAAAAAAGTGGATTTTTTTTTTGCATTTAAGAAAGAATGTTTAAAGCAGGAAGAGAAATAGAGCCGCTGCAGGTTTCTAGGCTAATTTGAGGAAACAAAATTCCTGTTCTATACAAATAACTTTCATATTGAAACTGAGTAGGTAATGTGAAAGAAGTGAGTGAATCAGTTGTCAAGGGTACTATCTCTGGGGGTTAAAAATAAGTCATGGTATCTCATTCAAACTGAAAGCCAAATCAAGTTATCCAGAATGTACTTTTTCCTAACTCTTTTTTGTGGATGGGGAGTGGTTAGGAATGCTGAAGAAACATTAGAGGGAAAGGCAGCCTAATAATTCCTTGAGGACTAGTAAGAAGTTTCTCTCTAACACTGACTTGTTTGAGAATTCAGGCTGTGAGGAAGCTTGATTATTTCTTTCAACCACCATTACAGCAGCTCCCAGCTTGCCAGGGGTAGGGGGGTAGTGCTCTGAATAGACTGAGTCTATGAACCTTGAATACATAAAACCATATTCTGCCAATTATAGGGCAGTTAAGATTTATGCTGTTATTAAAAGAGTTGTAGAGGATTGCTAAAATTTAACTCACACTACTCTCAGACATGTAAAGGAACATGTAGCTTCTTTGTTTTTCTCTCAGCAGTCTATTGTTTGTTGTCCACATGAGCCTCCATCCTACTAGATAGCCAGGAAGAAGGAAAAGAAGCCCCATAATTTTAGTCTAATCCAGTAAAATTATTCTAATAAAGTAACTTTAAAAGTCTCTTTAGTTAGCTAAAATAAAAATAAGTTTAGCATGTTTTGATAAAAAGGCTTAGTCTCTCTGCACCCTCTCCCTGCTCCTCAGCCAGACAGCCTCTGGGTATATGATGAGTGGTGTGGGCCCCTTGACTCTGGCAGAGGAGGCTCTCCTGTCAGGGTGGACCCTTTCCCACCCTCCCTGTCTTGCCTAATGGATGGGCAGCCAGTTCCCTAGTGACTCCTGAAGTGAAACTGGGGTGTTCTGTTGCATCTGCTGTGGAGCCTGTGGCTGGTGTAAGTTGGGTCTGTCCCTCTCATCTTGATCAGTGCCTGGTGGTCCTGCCTGGCTGATGTGCCCTCCTGGATGCCTGCTGGCATTGCTGATGCTCCTGAGGTCTGTCTGTGGAAGCCACAGACATCCTATTCAGCCACTTGACCTCTGCTGAAACAGTTCCCTCTCGTTGCATCCCAACCTGACTTTTCTTGATTCTAACCTTTTTTTGTTGTTTTTTAAATATCATACTGCTCATTGTTATTGCTGTTATTGAGCAGTATACTTAATTGGTTGGTGTGCTGACATTCAGATTCCTCACTAAGCAACTCTAGGGGAAGCTCAGTCCAGTGTGTTAAGATGAATTTCTTAGCATTCATGATTCCATGCTCTAGAGAGAGAAGCAGAAGGGCACTTGTGTAGATGGCACAGTGTGTAGGGCATGAAGTTAGGAAGACTGGTGGCACAAGGCAGCTTGATGTGGCTGGAGAAGTGGGTCACAGCCAGAGGAACTCAGACTTTGAGAAGGGTGGGGAGCAAGGCTCAGACTGATTGCAGGAGTCTGCAAATCCATAGGGAAGCCAAGCATTATTGTTACATTGAATAAAGAGAATGACTTCCCTGTATATAGATGCTACTGAAATAAATAAAATAGTTTGTTACTTGAATTTACGGTAACATTTTTGTCATGTATTTGCTCAATCAACATGTACAGAGTTTATGGGTCTCTGATCTATTTCTATGTTAAAGGGTTTCCCCTGCTTAAAAAATGGAGAACGACTAGCTTAGTCACTTGGCCTAAGCTGCCCTGGCGGTGACAACAATAAAAACAATAACAACAATTGTTAACTCTTACATAGCACTTGTCATACACAAGGCACTGTTCTGAGCATTTTACATATAATGACTTATTTAAGGCAACAGTTTGAAGTTACTGTTGTTCTGATT